TGATTTTAATTATATATATATATATTTTACTTTTATGTGTATCAGTGAAATATCGATTCGCTCAATAGAACTAGTTGTATGGATATTTGGGAGATGCTGCACAGAAACACTGCGATATAGCAATATTGCGCGCATAAATTTAGAAAATATGAATTTAGATAGTTTTGTTGACTTTATGAATAATAAATTCGGTATGACGTTAGAACGGTAAGTAGGTTGATTGAATTCACCGTTTGCCAAACAATTCCATAAGTGAATTTGTAGACCAATTTGCGTAGCAAAATGTCTCTTATTTGTGTGACGCACTGGCACTATAGCGACTAAAACTACATACGTTTAGTCAAGAGTATTTGTGTACAAAGTGCATAGCCCTATTTTATTATATGAATTATTTTATATATGATAAATGAATACCTATTTACAAGAATATTAATTACAAGAATATTAATCAGAAAGACGATTTGCGTTAAACAATTTAAGCAATCTTTATTGTTAATAGCTTAAGAGAGTAATTGAAGTAATTATGCGAATTTTTGCAAAAGTATTTGAAAAGACACATGATTTAAAATAATGTCTAAATAATTAAGATTTTTATTTGCCTGCGAAATGGTTCACTCTCATTATGTATTTCACGCCATACAGTACACGATTTCTTTTGTAAAATATAAATAGCAGCTTTTTCAGGCACGTTTCTATTCTGTAATGATTGGCGTATATCGTAGTGTAACAACTCAACTTGCGATCTCCCACTGGGAAAAGAGTAATTGTGTTGGGATCGATGTGCAATTGAGTTCGAAATTGCAATACGCTTTTTATTGCTGTATGTCAATACAAATTGGTACAAATATAATTGTCTCTAATCAAGTTTAAAATTTAAAATCTGAAATATTATAAAGGAACAATGTCCGTTCTAGCAACTTTCTATGCACATTAAATGATATATCTTAATCGTATCATTGATTTTTCTTATAGATTTTTATCTATTTTTTTCTCATCTATTTTTTCTACCTTATTGTATTTATACATTTTTCGCGTTTACTGTTTTAATCGTTTAACTTTTTTTAATAAGAAACTGTTACAGTAGTTCATGCTATTAGCACTCTCTATTTATACGCGACATATTGAAAATTCCTCGTCGCTTTTTATTTTTGATATTTTCCTGGTGGACCATTCGTCATGCTGTTTGAGTGCAATAACACACGCAGTACAATATTCGCGTGAAGAGAGTAATTGCGCTGGGATCGGTATGCAGATGAGTTCCAAACTGGATTCTGTTTTTCATCGATGAAGTCAATATTACGAAATAGTACGGGCGTCTTGGTAAACCGACGGTTGTACAAGGGAGAGCAGGGATAACGAACTTCTGCAAGATGTTACTGAATTCGCCACTTCCGTAGCCCGTAGGGTGAACCGAGAGCCGCTATACGGTGATTAAATTTCCTAGTTGCACTCCTTAAAACGAGTTATTTTGTAGGAAATTTAAACTGCAGTGCAAGGGTACCCGTCTTCCAGAATCGCTGTATTCAATATGCTTCGTAGATATCGTTTTTCCTTATTGCCGCCCCAACTCATTATTATCGTTGTTCAGAAACTCCCCGGCAGGCATATAGTAAAGCGCCAACGCTTCGAATTATCTATAAAATTACATTTGCGTCATTTCGAGATCCTGTAATTTAACAACGAAGCTTTAGTGTCTTCAGATAATCTTGTAATCTTGCAGAGTCCATTAATATTTTGAAGTAACTATCGCACTTAGGTATGCTCATTTTCTCTTTTCTACAAGGAATTATTAATTATTAAAATAAATTTTTTATTTATATTCAATTAATTAATAATTCTGTTCAATGCATTTGAACTATAACTTTGTGGAATATATAGCAAGAGTATTTTTGTGGTTATTGCTGGAGTTAATGAGATTATAATTAATGTGGTAAATATTTGTCTTTCTCTCCGCGTGGCCTTAATTAATGTGTGGCAAATTTTATGGGGACATAGATATGAATCTGATTATAATTGAAATCATGCAAGAACCAAAATAAATATGTAATTCATGCAGACGAGTTATTTATTTATCTCGCGGCAGAAAAAAGCAAATTTTTTTTTATGTGGAATATTTGTTTATTTAATTAATAATTGAGATTGAGTTTTGTTGAAGCAAAAAGGAAATTTACAAACAGTATTTTTTATAAGAGAAAAAAATAAACTTACTAAATTTCATTTTTTAAATTTACTTTGATGTATTGGATAGTTAATAATATTAATTGTTTTCAGCAATTACTTTAATGGAAACGATACAGTTTAATTAAAAAATGTCAGGCACAGTAATAATATCTCTGACATTAAAATTTTGAGAAACATTTTTGACAGCATTAACAATTTCAGGCACGTTATAGTAATATGTACAGATGTCTATATGTAACAATATTAATTTACTTACCTATTCAATATGTTGATATTTCCTTCCTAATATAAATTTCTTTTACGTCCATTTTTTGATTATGAAACTCTAGACGAGAGCTATTTAAGTTATGTATAACCAAACTAACATGAAAATACGAATCTAACATACTCAAATGTGTATACTATAAAATTATTTTTAAAATAATTGTTTGTTTTATTTAGAATAAAAGAGAAATTATATGTTATGTATATTTTTTAATATTCGTGTACATATTAATAATTCTATAAAGTAAAACGTACATTTTTTAAAAATAATTTTTTAATAACATTTACGTATATATATGAATATTCTATTACTATTTGTTATGAAATATATATGTATATTTCAGAATGTTTACACAAAAAATAAAGGAGACAATAATATGACGCAGGTAAAGAGAAAAAAAGATCGACGAACATGGATCTTTGTACATTGGTTTATTATTATAGCGGTACTTTGACACTGGTTATTTTAAGAAAGATAATATTTAGCCTCTTCGCTATTTTTGTCTATCTGCT